ATATATATCTTTGCGATGATATAGACTTTTTACGGAAAGATTTGTTAAGCATAACCGCAATATTGTTTTGAGTTTATCATTTTACAACAAAAGAAATTGGTATAAACCTGTACCGGTAGTTCCTTAACTAGGCCTATAAACCCGTTGAAGCAGGGACCATCACAGCGAAATAACCATGAACGCATGTCTGCTTCAAATGGCTTATAGAGAGCATTTTATTTATTATTATATAATACAATAATTTTATTTAGTTAAAAGTAGTTTTATTCATTTATACCGAATATTGAAAAAATGGAATATAAAATTTATATTAGTGGCGAATCGATGTGGAAGAATCATCATGAACAAACCCATTAAATATTAAATATCGGTATACCGTAAAACCCCGAATAGAAGCTCATGGGCTTAATATCGAGAAGAAGCCCATCTCGAAAAGAAGCCCCACCCCCACCTCTTCGGTTTGCAAAAAGTAATTTCGAGAAGAAGCCATCTCGAAAAGTAAGCCCATAGGTTTCTATTCAAGATCCTTTCTCCTTTCGAGATAGTTCTTACAACCTCAAATTTGGTTGGCTGCGTGCACTGTAATAATTTGTTTATATATAATTAATATCCCACGGTTTTAGTACGACAATAAACAATATATTAAACGAATACCATGTATGGACTTTAGGAACACTTTATGGTTAAAGTCCAAACTTACGAGATACTCAGAATACCACGGACTGAGAAACCCCCAAAAAGGATGGCAATTTCTGGATTTTGAATGCTTTTAAATCGATTTCAGTCTTATAGTCTCTAAAAATTAAGGACATAAATAAGGACGGGAAAATGCATTAAATCGTACTTGGTTGGTCATTACAGTATAAGCAGTTGGTTATTGTTACACGCACGACGCGGACTGCGGTGGTGTGCCCGCTCATACAGCCACAAACAACGCATCCACAGCATGCATGAAAAGTCAAGAAGAATCTTAGTACTAACAGTACTAAAATTAGTAATATTATTAGGTCAGTATGTTCATTCACATTAAACCACTTGTGTTTTTAATAATAATACCTGCAAGTGGATAATAAAAGCAAAGATTTATTGTGGGGACATAAAAAAAAAGTATTGCGGTCTACCTATATAAGTTATAAAAACATGACAACAATCCAATTTCGCTAGAGAAACTAATGATGTCTATTATGTGTCATTTAATTAAATGATTCTTTACCGTGACAACATTGTTGATTGCAATATTGCTTACAGTATTTGTTACGACATAGTGTGATCGTTAACACAGTGACTTATGCGCTTTGTTAATCCCTGTCGTCTTAGCACGCATCGGTATCCCAGCAACGGAACGCGTGCCTCCAGTTTATCTCAATTGGCTACACTTAACGGTGTTGAACTATCATTAATTATTAGTTCACTTTATGTTGTATTGCAAGAAGTAGAGTGTAATGAAGAAATTGTCTGATTTTAAACTATATTGAGCGTCATTACTTAAAGAGACCGTAAAGCATAATTTTGTCTATCTATTTTCATATCGTGATATTGTCTGTTTTCCTCAAATTATAATCACCGGTGTTTGTTATTACTTTAATGTTTTATTTAATTTCTTTTTCTTTTATTCATAAAATGATTTTTTTTTAAATTGTCTTCATTTAGATTAAAGAGCAAAGATATGATTGAATTTTGTGTCTAGCGAATTAATATTAAATCTTGGTTCACACTGGAGGAATTCAGACGCGCTGACGACGCAAACGCGAAACCAGTGTGAACTCAGCTTAGGAGTCGTGACCTGTATCCATCACCTTAGTCAACCTGAAGTGTTTTCAAACATGACTGTGTTTATCTTCTTAATCAAAATCAATAACAAGGTTGTGCAATACATTAATTTGTCGGAAAACAAAGCGTCAGTAAATCATAATTTTATGTTGTACTCGGATGAGTACCAATATTCCCGCGTGCAATACAGCACTAAACAAATTCCATCGAATTCGGCCAATGATGTGGCGTCGCTTTCCATAGTTCAAACTATTTGTTCTTTTGATGAAGTGAGTGGTAAGGTCTACCTCGTACAGTCATAACAAGTATTTATATAATTATGAATATTCAATACCATTCGGAACATCGTCTGGCAACATTTATAAATTTAGAAGTGTGAACGAGTTAGTGACCATGTGTCACGTGGATTATAGTCTGTAAAGCCATTGATCGATTGATTGATTAATTGATAAATTGATTAATTAATTGCTGGACTGATTGAATCATTTATTTACGCCTACATTCATTCATCGGTTCATTGATTGATTCATTGGTTCTTTAATTCATCCGTTCAACCATCCATTTATTTATGTATTTACCCATTCATTCGTTAATTCATTCAGCCCTTCGTTCATTTTGTCCATCCGTCCGTCTGTTCGTCCCGTCGTTTAATCATTCAATTTTCGTTCGTTCATTAATTCATTTATTGTACTCAATCATTATAAAAACAACTTAAAATTACAATTAAAATCAATTCAGAAGATGTCAAGGAAGGTCAAAAGTAAACTAACTTATTAGGGAGCTTTCGATTGCACGACGACGGTAGAACGTAATGACGTCAGTAAAAGTCATCTGCGCATGCGAGAACGTTAAGAACACCTCGTCGAGTATCCCAGATTCTGGAACGCAATTTGGCCAAATCTACGTATGCAGAGAACGTAGGACGGTCACGCATGAGTGATTCCGTTCTAGCGTCGCGTCTCGCACAAATCGAAAATTCCATATTATAGCCTATGGGATTGACAATCCAACTGAAGAATTTACAACTATATAATCTAAAAAAATGAAGTCATAATTGAAAGGAAGCAAGAATCATAGAGCCCTGTCCAAAACTGTTGTATGCCCATATATAGTCATGATATGCCTATATATGGTCATGATGTGATGTCATCATGACCATATTTAGGCATGTGATAGTCTAGACAGGGCATTAGATTAGATGTGCAGAAGACCATTGATTGAAATATAAACAATTAGGCTTAGATTTAAATTTTAGGTTTAGTTTACAGAATGGTTATTTACATATTTTTGAAAATTAAAATCCATCAAAATACAATACCAAGAATGTGCTATTTACAAGTAATAGGAACAAAATGAAAATTATATTCAAAAGGTCACACAAGTGGAAAATAAGATAATATTTAATTTCGGAAATATCATTGAAAATTATAATTCATTGTAATGGAAATCCAGAAATAGTGAGGCTGTACATTATTACATAAAGAACAACAGTAAGAAATGTAAATTGAAACAATGAGGGGGAAATTAAAGTGACAAAATATGAAAGTTCAATTTACAGAAAATAAATATTTACATTGTTGTTATTTGTCATTGTTGTTATATTTAAAATGATTAAGAACAATCAATCAATACCTTAGCACTTTATTATTATTATTATTATTATTATTGTTATTGTTATTGTTATTGTTATTGTTATTGTTATTGTTATTATTATTACTATTACAATAAAATGGCAAACAGCAGCACCGGTACAAAAATAATTACTATTTACTGAAAATTTCATTCACAAATCAACACTATATAAAAATAGAATATAAAATTAAATCTCCATTCCAAAAATTATAATTTACATACGGTTGAATAATGCACCAGAAATTTCAAGGCCTCATTCAAAACACATCTTTTTCTTTCACTGGTCATTTGCTTTCCTATTGTCTTAGTGGTGTGTGTGTGTTATAAAGCACATGGACACTTTCGCATGTTTTCGCTATATGTTTAACTTATTATTTAAACCACACAACAAACTAAGAGCATTCATTTATAATCTACATTAGATGCTTATGGCATAGGCCAACCATAGCATACTTCTACTTTTAAACTTCTTTAAAAAGAGACTTCAGTAATTCTTTGGTCTGAAAAAGTATTAACTGCAGCAAGATCCTATTACTGTATTAACTGATGTCCTTGTGAAGCGCCTTGATCATCTTGGGAAGCCGCTATATACTGTATATAATAATAATAATAATATTATTATTATTATTATTATTATTATTATTATTATTAATTATTATGATTAAAATAGCAAAAACCAATTGACAAAGTAAGGCCTATAGTATTAATATTCGTTGTATGGACGATTTCTAAATATAAATGTTATTTTAATAACACAATGGTCATGGGTTGGTGGAAAATACAGGCTAAAATAGTGTGCCGCTCTACTAGGATGGATTATAATTATTTATGTTCTCTGCCCTTTCGTTTATTATCAAAATCAAGGATAATATTATTGGCCATACATGATTATCAAATAAATCAATCCGAACATGCTAACAAAATAAATGTTTTATCATTACATATCTCGCATGATCCGCTTGAACGCATCACCAGAAACGATGACGTTAATTTATACAAATCCCATTACTGTAGGTCATATTAAGCTGTACTCTGCGTTTACGAATGCAGTGAAATTACGCAGAGAGAGAGAACTCAAAACGCACTTGTCACTGAGGCGTGTTCGTATTAAACAATAGCAGGAGAGTATTTAGAGTCGCTTAGCTTATAGCGCCCTCATAGTGGGATAATTGATTTTACAGTATATTCATCAACTCTTGTCGATTCACGTTTTCAGATTTCGTTGGAGAGTAATTAAGCTCATAGAATTTCATATGAGTAGATGATTCAGCTTTTCATGCCTCACTCGGATCGGTTTGCAGTGGTATTCTGGAGCACCGATCGATACCCGTTGGTCGGAGTATTTTCCCCATGCCTTATATTGACTCCGTAACGAATAGGAAATGGTTTACTTTTAAGTCAGTGAGAGCGCACTCTTGAAAATTTCTCTCCATTCACGCAGCAACTGTCGAGAATGCTAGTTGTTGAAGACGGAGACAGCCGAGAGACTTCTAGAAAAGAATATTAGCAAAAGTCTCTTGCGATGATAGCTGGTGGTGGACGGCTGAAAAACAGATAGATAGGCCTAAACCTGTTCGAAAGGTAAAAACAAACCACAAATATTGGTTCGCAATACTTTTAATTGAACATTTTTTCAACTATAATAATCATGAGTGAAAACGAAAAAAATACTTTTTCTGTCAGGCTTGTTAAACGTCATCCGCACGGTCTTGGATTTCTAGTGCGAAAACGGAAAAACAACCCTCCGCTCGTTGTTTCCGATCTCGTAAGAGGGGGTGCAGCTGAACAGTCCGGATTAATAAAAATCAGCGATCTCCTAATGGCCGTTAACGGAGTTCATCTTGTTGATATACCATATAATACAGCATTGGAAGTTCTTAGAAGCGTCCCGTATGGATCGCCGTGTGTTCTCGTATTGCGTGCACCTGAGGGGTATAATACTCGAATCGAAAACGTCGTTGGTCCTGACGGAGCTATAAGAATTGTTCGTTATAGCGATTCAGTGGAATCAGATTCTACTCCGCCACGAAAGATAAGCGATGTTTCGACGCAGCCTATGAAGGTTTTTCAAAATGAAACATTGGAGGACAAAAATGCCAGGATAGGTACATGGCCAAGAAACTACCCGGCGGGCATAGAAAATGGAACTTCTCCCACAAGTCGAGCAGCGGTCTCACCTGTTGGGTTGTCCTATCGAAGCGTATCTCCTCACGCAAGCCCGTTGCGAAACCCACGTCGCCGTTATTCCAGTCAATCGCCAGTCCGTCGACGGATATCTCCAAGCCCCGTCCGTTGGCGACCTCGCCCTGAAGAATTCTACGATGGATATTTGGATCGGGATACGGACACAGTCCTCGCTTGGAATGGCGTTGTTCCGCGCGAAATCTACGAAATACCGGTCCATGAAGACATCTATGGGGGTACGGTTTACCCTGATGAGGATGATATTATGGTATCACCACCATCCGATAGGTATTGTAATGTCATTGAAAATTCCAAAGGCCTCCAGTGGCCAGAGCAAGTTATTGTTCCAAATGATGTTGTGGAAAACCCCGGTAACGGAACATCTGAATGCCAGGATCACAAATGGTGTAGCAGAGAAACACGTGGATGTAAAACAAACCACACTGAAGAGGTTCAGCAGGAAAAGAAACAACGAGAAACTCATATAAACGGCTTGCTTTGCTCCCGCCCTACAGACCTCAATGTTCATGAAACGAAAGTTGAGTTAGAAAGCACGACTACCGATAATGTAAAACCTATAAAAGAAGATACAAAGGAAAAATTTCAGTGCATAAAATCAACAAGCGAAAAATCGGCCAGTGAGGATGTCGGCACCAGCACACAACAATCGGAGCCAAAAGCAAATAATGACACTGCTGGGAGCGAACCAAAGTGCCCTGTTGCCGAAATTGTTAAGACAGATAGTTCTGTTCAAACGGTTCCGCTGTCCGTCATGAATTCCAGCGCAATAACAGAAACAGCACAACGGACAACGCCGCATGGCAGTCCGGCTAGACGATTTATCAAACTTCAGAACTATAATGACGGCAAACAGTTTAATGATACTCTTCATCAAAAGAGCATTGAGGTAAGTAATGAAAAATATTTTTGAACATTACAGTTGGCCTTTATTCTACAATGATAAATATTTTCACCTCTAAAACCAATTGATAAGCTTGCTATCTTAAAAAATACCTATGTACAGCAGACCCACATCACAGTTGGTGTGTTGTGAGTAATAATTTCATTTCATTTCCATTTGCATTAATTTATTGGTATAAAAACACTCACAAAGCAACATAGAAACATGTTGCAAATTATCTGAATGTAGGCCTACAAAACGTTGCGAATCAAGTATTTTTTTTTTTAGATAATGCGAATTTACCATTAGAACATAGTATAAAGAATAAATATTGTAAACATTGAAAAGCACATCTTACAACACGTAATTATCTTGATAGAAATATCCCGTTCAAGGACACGCTCTTGTTTGAGTATAATTAGCCATTATCCGTAAACATAGGGTTTCTGAAAAAATAGACTGTAATTCAGAGCCCAATTAACGTCAGATATTTTACCGGGAATCGTTCAGATAAGAGATGCCATTTTCAAAGTGAACGTTTATTATACTTAATTTCTGAACTAGACCATCTCCCATGTCTATTAGCGCGCACTATTTAATGCAAATTAACAACATTAGGAGTCCAGATAAATGAGTAGTTTCGACGTTAAGCTAGATGTATTTAAATCCGAGTAATATACCCTAATTCTCGCGTTCACTATAAATCATTTTCCATGAATGATTGGCCTACACTCTTATTTTAGTTTTCTATCTTCAAATAAGATATATATGCCCTAATGTTGTATATTTACTGGACAACTTTTAATTAAAACGAAGATGAACAATACTGATCTCAAATGATGAAAAATATAGGCCTACTTTTTGCTTAATCCATATTTTATTTATAATAAGTTATACAGCCATAAATGTGTGTCGGTTGTTTATAACATTTATAAGGGTAATTTAGACTCAGTCTCTATTGTAATTAACATTTAAATATGATTTTGTAAAATCAATCTATCTATCTATCTGTCTATATGAAAAATCGTGATTTTATCCTGTAGTTAAAGTAAGACTAAAGCAGGAAAATCTGTATCTGTGTGTATTACTCAAATTATTTGTTTTTTCGGCGTTGTAATGCCGATTCTATATTTTCATAAATCTGTCAGTTTTAGTCTAATCCTGTTTGTTCCGATATAATCGGATTTGATGCAAGTTAGAATCTAGAATGTATAACTAAATCTAGTTTAAAAACTAGGCTTATGTGATTGTTATGATGTGTTATTTTTCTGCAAAGAATTCTAATTTTTCTAGTTTTTTTTCTTTTTACTATAGGTATGCGCTTTATTGTAAAGAGAGACATTTTTTTAATTTTGTTAATCGATTATCCCTTGATATGTAATCCATCAACTGAATTTTTAAGTGGATTATAATATAATTTTAATCAGGGAGCTGGGGCGGATGCAGGATTAGGTGGTAGGAGGGGGTGCGTGAGAGTCCATACTACCTCAGCCCCACCATGGTTGGGGCTAAGGTGCGACCATTTTGAAAATAAGGACCTCTAGATTCTTAAAAATTTTACTGTTCATATCAACAATACAATACAACAATTATTTTTCTTAATACAGTTGTATCCGCCCCAAAGGAGCACTCATGTTACATGACTGCTCCCTGATTTTAATAAAGTCGGATCAACTTATAGTATTTTATTTGCTGAGCAACAAGTTTCCGTAACTGCCAGTTCGCGTATGAAGCGTTTGTGTCTCGAATGTTACTTAATAATAATTACGATGATGATAATGATGACGACGACGACGACGACGACGATGATGATAATTTGATTATCTGATGTAGGAACTATGATATAAAAATAAATTAAAGTACGGTAAAACGTAACATCTAACCACTTACCAACTAAAAGTTTGCGAAACTTGTTTAACAAGAATTGTTTATTGAAAATATATAGGCCTATAAAAGTTACACGTAAATTCTAAAAAATAATAAATTATAAAAATCTGTAAACAGTTTCAGTTATTATCATCGTCGTCGTCGTCATCGTCATATCATCATCACCATAAACCTGCTTATGAATTCTGAATTCGCTAGCATTAGGGATAAGAAACTCTATTTTGTTAGCACATACTATCTAAATATTTCATTTAGTGAATAATCATATTTGTATTTTAATTTTACATTTATTTTTTTAAATACAGAAAAAATTATTCTATAGAAAATAAATTAAAATTGCTTCAGCAGAGTGTAACAATACATCTTATTTTTATTTAACCAAAGTTACTGCTAAACAATTAGTAACAAAATGTAGCTTGGTTATTATAATACTCATTTAAATATGGCATGACGTCACAAAGATCAAACGAATCTTTCAGATAGTTGTCTCATGTTAAGTAGCTTTGAACGATATCTTAATGCGTTTCTCTTACTCGCCAAGCCATTTGTTCCGAATTAATGTCAACCTACGCCACGGTCTCTGTGACTGGTTTCTATTTGTACCGTAAATTATTGAAAATGCCGAAATTGCTATCAAATACATGAAGTTGTTTTCTTTTGGATTTTTTTTTTGCTTATATACGCCGGTAATGATAATTATCAATAAGTTGATATAGCGATTTGTTAGCTGTGAATATGATAATAGTGACGTTCGGTCTAGAGAAATAGGCCTATGTCACGGAGTTAATTACTTTGGGTTATAGCTTTATGCTTTTATAAAATCTTCGGAAATGTATGCATTCAAGGCATATCAAAGATAATATACCCTTATTTTAAAATGAAGTTTGGATTAATTAGGTGGTTACCGTAATTTTTATGCACGATTTAGCCATTGTAAAGAGAAGACATTTCCACCGGCTTACTTCCTTTAGTAAATAAATATGTTGATTTTAATAATTTAAATCAATATTAAATTATCAATTTCAATTACTGTGTATAATATATCGGAATTATAAAATATATATCGATAGAATTGATTAGGTTTATAATGTAATCGTACACAATTAATCGATTATTTTGTTCATAGAAAATTACCATAAACGAGTTGAATGTATGCCACTTAACTTTACGCGTAATTTTTCTAATGATAAGGTGAGCAGGTTGACAAGACATGTGGGCTTGATTGCTATAGGTGATTCAGGGTAAAATGAAGTATCCTAATACGCTTATTCGGAGTCGATTTGACCTATCTAATGCTTGCTCGATTAGGTGCATAATGAATTATAATTTACAGGTAAAATTGTAAAAGAAAATGTTAAAATAAAAGTATAAAAGATTGAATGCATGCCTGAATGTTAATGTGCGTTGGACAAAATCAAGCAACAAAGTATTCGTGTGGTAAAGTGCTGTAAATAGGGAGTTTTCGAAAGCTTACGAAAACGATAACAAAATACGGTTACTTCAAATTTTTAGGCAACCCATCCCCTACAGTAAAGTATCTGTCACAACGTAGGCCATTCATGCCTTTTGCATGATTCAAGGATCATATTCAGCCCGTACAGCATATTATCAAGAATGTTTAATGACGTATTCGTTATCGTTTTCATAAGGGTGCCCTATGTTAAATAAATCATTACCATGATTCTGTTCTGTAAAAAATCTTGAGGAATGCCACAGAAGGTAAAATAGTCACTGACTAGTGCACAGTGTTCCGAAATAATACGGTGCGTTTGAAGATGTGTGGTCCCGTCTGTGCTTTTGTCAATGCGCTTTTACACGTTAACCAGGTGATCACTGATAGCAGGTCAGATTGCAGGGGGCGCTGAAGACGACCAGACGGAAAAGGACTGTGAAACTGCGACTCCATAAGTTCGCGGCACGAAGAAACGTCGCGGACGGATATTTTTCAATTCGCTCAGACTACAGTATCGACGATCAGTGAAGCGTTGCTTTGGACAAGTTCTGGACTGGGAATTTAAGAAGTTGATTGTCTCCCCGTCTACATAAAGGAGTGGCGTGTCTGTATGAAAAGAGCATATGGAACCAACTAATTTCCAATTGCCTTTGTAAATTATTGTAATAGACTTTCGGAAATTATGTTAATAATTGTCTGAACACGAAGCAATTATATTAACGTGTTAATCTACCACCATTAATCCTCTTAGAAATTTTATTGTATATTAATAATCAAATGAGGCAGCCATAATAAATCTTTCTGGAGTGACAAACAAACTCAATAATTGGCCAATCAGAACGTGTCATATGAAAGAAGTTTGCCATGAATGCTGCCGCTGGAGTTAGAATTAACTACGATTTAACGGTGATTCTGATATTGTAAAGTCCCATTTCTTGGGCAATAATCTGATTAAGGTGAGCTTCGACTAAACTTACTTGATGAAGAATGTACAGAAGAAGTCGATGACAATGCCATTTAACATTCAGGCATTTTGCGATGACTCAACCATTAATGTGATCCATTTTGTAGAAAGAGACCATATTATTATGGTCTACGATCAATTCCAGATGATCTGCGTCACTGCTTTATCTTCATTAAAATTATCTAATGATCACGTTATACATTCACACTGTATCTGGTTTCCATAAAATCGCTACACAGTTGCTACTCAGTGTTTTTATGCAATTCTTGCACTGCGTAGCTGTCTCAGAACGCAATTGGCAATGCTCCCTGATTCAAATGACCAATCTGTGTCGCCAAAGCAGTCGGCGATAGCATGTACCAATTTTTATGAAAACCAGGCTAGTAGTCTAATTCAAAATATTATAGGCCTAATGGTCGCCGAAATTGCCTCATGATCTTGTTGGTTTAGTGGCCTTGAGTGGCACCTTGCATGTTATGTTAGTTCCTGAATGTCTGTGTGAAAGAAAGTTCTTTTTGGCACAAAGAAAATATACTTTTTTGGGCAGTTTGGAACGTACGGTACTACGATATACTGTTATCGCCAAAAGTCAGTCTCATTGCGCAGATAAATGTGCATCGGTATGTATAACATAGGCCTACCCGAAAATGTTTTTTTTTTTCTTCTAGTTTAGCTAACGCTCTTAGTCGTCCTAATGTTCTT